AGCGTCAGACGGATGAAGTACGTCCTTGCGTTGGGAATCTACTCCCATACATGCCCTCTGCCATGTATGGCCTTGAGCAGAGCAATAATGACTCCAAATTCACTGAGGAAGGCATCATCAGTGTCCGTACAGGGCCAATCCTGTCTGACACAATGGCATTACAGTAAATCCCCCAAGCCTATAAGCAGGCCGGGTGACTCCCCGGGGAGGAGAACAGTCTCCTCACACAACCACCGAGGCGCTCGCTTTTTCTACTAAAAAATATAAAGTTGTTTTATGGCATAAATAACACAGGCTACAATTTGTGCCACATGTGGCTCGGCCCGTTTCCTGAAAATGTGTACGGGGGGGTGTAAAAGGTATGTGGCAGTGTTGCTACAGCGGGCCTGGGATGTTTTGGGTACCACTCCTTCCCTTTGTTTCTCTTGCCCCGACCTCACAGCATCTCCAACAAAAATACAGCGGACATCAAAAGCCCTTATTCAAGAAGGGCAGGTATAATCAGCTTCAGCATCAACATCACCACCGTTATTCATCAATATCAGTTTTCATCATCACCAAGTGACAAATCAAAACTCGGAGTACAACAAATGTTCATTTTCACCAAAGATATTTACATAAAGTTTCCAAAACAGAAGGATTTTCTTACCACGTTTTTATAAAGAAATAACACCTAAAACACACACGTACACACTGACCAACAGTCAAATGTGAACAGAAAGAAAAAGTATATTATTACTTGTTATTGTTTTTCATTTTGTTACCTTTCACATGATGCTTACTTAAACCCTGATTGGGAGAAGTCACACTGGCTTTCACCAGATGCTTAAAACAATTGAAAGGGTGAGTTAGGGGAGGCGAGGTCTGTCTGCGCAGGGCGAGACTCACACACAAACAGACCGGGACCAAAACAAGGGCGACCCAGAAGACGTCGGGTCTGACTCAGCTGTAATAATATGATTCAGCAGAATAAAACAGCTGCTGTGCCTCTAAAATGACATTACTGCAGCCCCCCCCCCCCCCCCAACACACACATACACCGCAAAGATCGCAAAGACATAAGACATAAGTACAGTATAGCTTCAATTGAATATTGCACAAACTACCGCTAAGCAGGCACATTTCCAATAAAAGGGGGTCACTGACGCTCGGAAAGCCACATCACAGTATAAGAAACGGACTGAGGGTACGACAAGGACAAACAATATCAGGCTCAGGAACACATCTTGCTAATCCCTTGGCACACAGGTGTGACCCCCTTAGCCAATAAAGCTTTTAGTTATTTAAAAGGGAAACAGAAAAGGGAAGGCTGCAGGTGACAATGACACATTTGGGGTGGACACCCATTCTCTTTTTCACTTTTCCAGCTGCTGCAGACAGCTGGCAGCCTACTGAGGCTGCACTCCAGTTTGGAGCTAATTGCTAATGTCAACATGTTCACTGAGGCAATGCTAACATGGTTGTGACGCATGTGTTAGAGGCAGCGCCTAAAGTTCAGGAAATTTGTGGAAACTTGAAAATAGAAATTACCAAAAGGTCTCAACACCCAACGGAATAAAAACCTAAATAAAGAGGAATCTATGAAACTGGGTTAAGTTTAAAGAGCAACTAGGCTGCTCCTACGTGGCGCCAGTCGGTGGAAAAGTTGGTGGCGCCTGTCCTCTTGATTGACACCTCAGTAATGAAGCAGTACGGATCCACGGCGCCTCGCCGGCCTCGCCGGCCTCGCCGGGGAACGTAGCGTGAACACAAGGAGTAGCCAGTACACGGAGTGAAGCAGCTGCAACGCCGCCATGTTGTATTCATGAGTTCAGGAGTGTTGAAGGTCGGTCCTGACAGTGTCGTTGCCAACAGAGAGGCCGCGTTGAGAGGCGTGAGACGGCTGGCCGTGTAATATAACTGGGATTGTTTGTGCTCTGAGCTCGCCATCCGTTTTAATAGTACAACTTTCTGGATACACTGTGGTGAATCCTATGAGACTGTAAAACATTGTGTTGCAGATGAAAAAACAAAAAAATGGAATTAAAGACTATACCACGTTCACATTTGAGTAATTTGTTATATTTTAGAGAGCAAATTTCTTAACAATGACCAGTGATCAAATCTATTTTAGATGAATAAACGTTACACTTAAAGGGTGTACCTAGCCACTTCTCCCTTTAACCCAAACAATGAATAGGTGAAGTCAACTAATATAATAATATTGGCGTTACAATAAAATGATGTATCTTTTAGTGTAGCATTTCTCTACCCCACTGAGAGTTGAACCTCCTGCTCTTGCCTAAATGTCACTAATGATGTAATGACTGTGCCATTTAACCTTTTTAAAATTAGAAAATGTTTTTGTCGGGATTGGCTTTTAAGAAGTGTGTTCTCCAAAGCACTCTGTGAGTTTTAAAGGCGTGCAGCCCTCCAGGCTAGCTTGGAGGAGCAGCCACATCACTGTGCCTCATGTTGCTAAAAATAAAGCCATATCCTCCCGTTTACAGGGTCATTGATGCCTGAGCTTAGTAAACCCTGGCAGCATACCAATTTATCACTCCTCGAGCTACATATCATCTTAGTGAAAAGGAAAAGGCAGCGGTATTGTGTTGACTCATCGGCCCGCACATTCAAACCACGTCTGGCTTTCAATCGCCTCATGATTATTTATCTTGTTTGCACCGACAAGCCTTTATCCCCGTCCATCATCCTCTCGCTCATGAACGAGCACACGCCACAATTTAGTTTTATTCTCGGGCAAGTTTTACCTCTGCAAACAGCGGGTTTCCTTTAGGCCCGAGAAAGCAGATACTGCTCCTTTCTGCCCACCTAATGGGAGCGTAATGTGCTGTGACACTGCTGCCAGTGGCTGTCAAAACAGTGGACCCTGTTCGGTGGCTGGCCAATTGTTCTGATGGGTGCTGGACTGGATCGGTGCACCAGCCGGCACCGAGCCTCGCACGGAACACACTGCACAGAACACGTCCACTGCCCAGTCCGGTTTATAGACGTACCAGATGAGGACTAACCTGGTGCAGACTTCGATTACACAACCTGTGATCAGGTAATAATTATCATCATAAAGGCAAAGCTTAAGAGGGGAAACAGTATTTCAGGATTAGTTTTAGCAGGTCTAGACTTAGTGGGAACCACATTAAGAGGCAGTGAGGCTTTGTCTAAAGAAAACAACTAACATGAGAGATGGCTGAAAGGACGACGCTCATTTAGACACGAAAACTAAGTCGCTCCACTGAGAGAAAAGAAAAATCCTGAAAAGCTGAAAGCTGATTACGCTTCACAGGACTTGCTGAATGTAAAAAAAACAAAAGTACTTTCCACTAAGAAAGATTAGATGTCTGCGTGAGCAGCTCTTAATGGCCGACAGTATTCATGTTGCTGCTTCGTGACCGTTTATGTTGGAGAAATATGGAGCTGAGCTGAGTGTGCCTGACAAGCAGGGCAGCCACCAGTTCACTGTGTGGCGTTGTCAAGCACTCAGGGAGGAGATCGCGTCTAATCTGCTTCTGCACCATCGAGCAGCGAGAACAACACAAACGTATTTCTCTTTCAGCGTTGGATTCTTGTCTGTCTCGCTGTGATCGTTCAGCGCCATGAACCCGTGCAGGAGCACCCACACTGTTTGCTCTGACTGTGCGTGTTGTGGATCAACACGTGGCATTAAAGAAAAAAGCTGTGTTGTTTAGGCCTCAGCATCGCAGACACACATAGAACCACACGAGTACGCTGACCAAGGAAACCAAAAGAGGAGGATGAGAGCCCTACATCCGTCCCCTGTGTCCTCCACTTCATCTCCAAACCCTGAAATCACAGAGCAGACGTCCCCTCTCCCCAACTGCTGCTCACCCTTTCAGACACTCCCCCCCCCCACACACACTTTCATTTTCCTCAGTACTGTAATCATCATCAAAACTGTCATTATCGTTATTATTGTTATTACGTTTTCAAAAAGTGCAGATAGAACTTCCCCGGGCCCTCGTTCAGAGGGCGGGGCAGTAAAGGAGGGGGGGCGAGAACGGCAGTGAGAAGAGCGAGAGGAGCGCCAGGTGAGAGAGAAAAACAGAGATTGTGTCGCTCCTGTGGACGCACACACGCACTCGGTTGGTGAACAATGACGTAGGGGGGGGTTGTATTTATTTGTTTGTTCATCTTTTTCTCTCTCTCCTTGTCAGGGCTTCTTCCGGAAAAATCTAAATGGAGTGATCCGTTTCCAAAGTGTATCGGGTTCCAGCTGTCCAAGTTTGGAAAGTTTTTTTTTTTTTTAAATCTCTATTTTTGTTGGAGCTACAGCACAGCACCCACAGCACAAAGACAATAAGGGTGTGGGGAGGGGGGGGGTCCAGAATAAGGTTGGATACATTTACATCGTGCCAGAAGAATAGAGAGAGAGAACATTAAGGGGATATAAAGAAAAGCACAGAGAGGAAAAGAGACTTTCCATCGAGAATTCAGCTGATTACTGAGTATTGTTTGCTCTCCACAGCTAAACATCAAAGAATGGGGGGGGGGGGAGGAGGATATAGTGTACACTGGAGACAGGTGACAAGGAGACAAATGAAAAGACAAGCTTTGGATACGATACTGCATATTTGGCATATGTATGGGGGGAGGGGGAGGAGGGGTTCTGCTATTTAGCCCTTATATTAATATATATGTACATATTGGACCAACTGTATGTCATTGACTACCTGGAATCGGCGTACACTTAACTGAGAACGAGGATTATATGACAATAAATTGTGACTTCTCTGTAAATCCAAGGGACCGGCACCTTGGACGGGCCGAGGAACTGCAGAGCAGTTTGGAACCGAAGGGTCGATAAAGGAACTGAATATCGGGACGCCACAGGCAAAGTGCAGACAGACATACAGACAGTCGGAAACAGGGGGACTATTGGCACGGTGTGAGACACAGAAAACGGGAGAAGGGTCGGAGAGAAGTGGAGATCTTGAAAAAAACAAATAGTTTAAAGGTTTAATAGAGCAGATGGCTAATTGTACCCGTGTTTCGCAGCCTGGCAGCAAGTCAGTCTTGTGCATAAGGACGGGAGTGGAAGGAGGAGAGGGGGGAGGAGCAGGAGACGGGGGAAGGGGTCACGGAGGAAGCCGGGCGGTGCGTTCAGGCCTTCAGAGCGTGCCACTGGGCGACGTTAGTACGCGGCCGAGCGAGCATGTCTTTCCAGTGCTTTACCTCCGCTGGTCCACTCTTCCACGATAGGTAGATCTGAGAGACGGGAAGAGGGGAACGGATGATGATGTAATCATCTGTAAGCCATTCAGATATAGTATAAACATTGTCGGGGGGGGGGGGGGGGGGTTGCCTTCCAAAGGGGCACTGAAGGCCTTTGTTTGGCCATATTTAACATGGAGGGTAGTACACCAGCGGCAGCGGGGAAATTGGAAATGGTCTCAGGGCTCTCACGGGCTGCATCGTATCGTATGGATTTTTAAATACATTTTGCTCTGAGGCCTTAATCAATGAAGCCTATTTCTGCTATGCTGTAACTCCCCGGGGTCTCCGCTGGTTGCCTGGAAACTACCGGAGCCAGAAGCAGAGCCCGGCTAGCTGTCTCCTCCTGCCCTCAGTCTACATGCTAAGCTGCTAACGCTCTGCTGGCTGGAGCTTTACGCCCAGTTGCCAAACGTGAGCGAGGGATCTATCTTCGGATCGACGTCTCGCCGCTAATAGACGCGTTTCCTAAAAATAGTGCCATGCTTTAAGATATATGAGATGGCTAGCATCCGACATGATCAGCGCAGAAAGTCGGCTAATTAACAAATGTTGTCTATTGACCGCTGACTCCAAATTGTGTGCGTTTAATTCCGTTAATTATTATTGTAGCAATTTTCTTCCCTGTGGTGGCAATGTTCACACGCGGAATCCCGTTACAACTTTTTCCGAAAGTCTCTTTACTCAGTTACGCTTTCAGATATCAGACCTTTCCTCTTATGGTTTATATGTCGCTGCAACACAAAGGGTTACCTTGCCGATGACGTCGTTGCGGCTAAGCCTGTCCTTGTCCATGACGGTGATGATGATGGTGGTCTCCCTCAGCACATGGGCGGCCACTTCGAAGGGGAATGACTCGTTGAAAACGGGGTTCAGACAGCGCTTCATCGTCACCGTCTTCTTCTTCTCTACGCGCTTGTCCTTGTGCATCAGCCACACCTTCACGTATGGATCTGCAATGCGTCCGCAGGAGACAGCGGTTTACGTGAGAGCGAGGGAGAAGATGCTCACAGAAGGTGTATTTGAGAGTCAGGTTAGCAATTACCCTCTTAATTGTTAAAGTCAGGGAAGGCAGCAGGGAAGCAGATACCGAGTTTGAGCTCAAGGTCAACTTATCCCCTGAGCTTGGAAACATACAAATGAGGAGGTATTTATGGAAATAGGGTCTGGGATTTGTACTACCAATTCTGTGACACAAGCATACACTGCTCCCGCTACTACAGAAAGCAGTACTTTTACAAATCAATGCCACAGAAAGCCATTCACATTTAGACTTGATGCTTTAAAGACTAGCACCAGACGGACACGTGTGGTTCCTGAGAGACTCACACTATGCCGCTATCAACAATCCCCCCCCCCCGACAACACGTCATTTCCTGGGAGGCTACAGATGCTCAGGAAAAAGGATCCATCCGCAGCTATCTACAGGGCGACCCAGTTTAGGAGCTGGACGGCAACCGTCTTCTGCTGGACGGCTGAGCAAATGTTTAGACGCGGAGATGAAGCTTCTAACGTCAGGAGAACGTCTGGCTTCAGACGGGCGAACAAGGGTTAGAAGGGGAAAAACAGGCTAAACAAACATACCTGAGGTGCCCCCAATATCCATGGCTTTGAGATTTCGCGCTTTGATGATGTTCACTGTGATGATGTTGGCTGTGGGATTGTAGCAGAGAGACAACAGCAGGTCTCCTCGTCTCCCCTGAGGAACACACACAAGCACATGCACATGACGACATGTGAATTTCCCAGTCTAATATCGGATTTCATCAGGGAAAATTAAACTCCAGTTTACTCTCTAGCGCCTTGTGTAATCTTACATCTCTGCTCTAACCCCATGTGACGAACACGGACGGTCCAGTGACCAGGCCGACACGGCAGAGTACCGTGGCTCACATGCTGAGAGCACTGAACAAATAGCATTGCACTAATAAACCTGTAACGTTTGACTGAAAAAAATGGATTTTGGCCATCCCTCCTTTCTCTTACGCTGCCATCACTGCAGGGCTTGAGCTCCTTCCAGAAGGTCTTTATCTGGCCCAGTTCCACCTTGTTAAGGGGGATTGACACCTCTCCAATGGGGTCATTCCTGCTGAAGCGGTCGTAGTCCAACACCTGAAGGTATAGAGTGCGCTCTCTCACCTTCTCGTAAGGGAAGCCTAAAACGGAGACGGAATCAGAGGGAAGTTACCGAGGATGAAAAACGTAAAATCTGCCCTGTGTTAACCGGGAGGAATTTGGCAAAGGCCAAAGTATGTTTAAAAAACTGCAGGAGGGGGATGGTTACACCCACAGAGAATTATCTCATTCATTTCTCAAGAGCAATGGCTGTTTTCCTATTTTGGAACCTTTCAAACATCGTTTTTGGCAATTTCACTGCCCGAACACATAATGTTCTTTCTTGGTTAAGACACAACCTTTGTCGTTGCCATTAACGCGTGAAGAAGGAATGCTACAAACTTGACTTCAGCACACTTGAGTCTGTTCTTAAAGCAGAAGGTCAATAACAATATAATCCTGCTTCACTGCTTGTGTGGCCGTACTTTTTTTACACCTTGATTTTTCTAAAGCGTAAATGAAGAAGAGACTTTTACATTGGTGAGCTTTCGCTGATGCTATGCTAAGCAGCTCTTGCTGTAGCATCATGTTCTGCGTACGAAAAAAGGTCATTGTCTAACTCTCAGTAAGAAAGTGTACATGTGCATTTACCTATTTAACTATTGCTATATGGATTTGTAAGGAGAAGTCTTCAAAATGACAACGTCTTACCACATGAAAGGATGGAAATGAAAAATGGTACAAACATTAACAAATGCCACAACACAGACCCTCAAACAGGAAGGTTTCGTTCCAGTGGGGGTTGAGGTTCTTCCTCTTGATCTTGGTCTCCAGCTTGTTTTTTTTGTCAGGCAGCAGGTAGATTTTGACAAAGGGATCGGAGGTGCCGGAGAAGTCCTTGGCCGGGAGCTCCTGGCCCCTGAGGAGTTTGACGGTGAGGGTTGTGTTCTGGAAGCTGTAGCCTATGCTGAACTGGATCCGGCCCAGCTTCTCACTGACGGGCCCTTCACCGTCATCGTCCTCCGAACCTGGGGACAGCTGCAGGGGCCACAAATGCGGTCGATTAAATACGAATACATGCAACATTAGCAGCAGCGAGCACTCACATGAATAGTTCAGTCCGAGGGGCCTACACACCTGTCTCGGCCACGAGCACGCACACACAGGCCGAGACACAGAGAACCTGTGATGGGGGGAGATTTTAGAGCTGCCTTTCTATCCAGGCATCAAGCGGCTGCTCAGAGCTCTGACATTAAGAAGAGTGAGAGAGTTTAATTTCTCTTCTAAAGTTCTTAAGGTGCTCAGATTGGAGATAGAGGCGCTTTAGACCACCCGTTCTCCCTCGCAGCCACTTAGACTGCTTTATCACTGCTGTGCACTAAAAGGGCTGATAGAAGGCAGCGGACAGAGAGACGAGCAGAAAGAGGGGGAGAGAGAGAAAGCTTTGCACTGGGGGCATGGCGAGAACTTCTTTTCTCCCTGTTACACCACCTTCTGTGGCTCTGCTTTATTCTTTTCCCTCTCACCGAAAAGAGCATCGATTTGGAACGCAGAATGTGAGGACTTCATAAAAGAACCATGTTGTGTAATTTTCCCATTTATATTTTGTGAAAGACCAGCCGGGCGGTTTGGTTTGCAAGCGAAGCTTTCCTCGGAGCGTTACCTGGAATTGTTGATTTCAGACCATTACATTTCAAAGTGGAAAAGACTCACGTACTCCGCTTTTGTCAATAAGGGTTTTAGAACTGTCAGCCAGAGCGAGGGTGAAATATTATAATTTCTAAAACAGTAAGAGTCACCTTGGATGGCTCCTCTTGCTTGATTGCCGCTTCAGGAGCTGTGCTTTTTCATCTCACATTATGGCACTCTTATTACCACCTGTAGCTTTAAACGCTCTTCTAGCATGAAGGATGATTCAGCATCACTTTTCGTACCAAATCCTTGAGGCTAGTTGACTTCAAAACGCAATTGTTGCCTCCCAGTCAGTTTATTAATCATAATGCATTTGTGGTTTTGAAGGGCGCTTTCTAAAATCCAAGACAACACCTAAATATTTACATTTACTACACTATACTATACATTTCAGTCCGTGAATAATTCTGGCCAAATTCTACAGTATATGTTTAGTACTCAAACAGATTCCACAAAAAGACAAAAACTGATAGATTGTCAATGTCGCTCAGTTCTCACCATCACCATGTCTCCAGTGAGCGAGTTGGCCAGGTCGGTGACGGAGGATTTGCCGTCAGCATCCGGGGGTTGGCCCTTGGGACTGTTAGCTGGCTTGCTGCCCCTGTAAGCAGAAACACAGGTTGACCCGGGGGGGGGGAAACGGCGAGGACACGCGCTGAGGAGCTAACTCGTCTCCAGAAAGACAGAATGTCCGAGCACACAGGGAGCCCAACCTCCACCTGTTTTGGCGCTTGAAGACCGCCTATCTGAAACAACCATTGAGTCCAAGTTGGCTTTGGAAAGATGTCCCTTCAAAGGACATTTTGCTTTATCTAGCTATCATGAGCAAAGCCAAATAAAGTATGCCAAGAATTCCAGAGATTAGCGGCAGGCGCTAGAACTGAGGGCATTTGATGGAGTGTTTGATGAAACTTGGAATCTGAGATGAATAGAGATATGTCCAGCGTGCAAACATTCACATCTCTAACAAGAAAGTTACCTCCACCACGGAAACAAAGACATTTTCAGAAATTTAAAATAGATAGAAAAACCAAATCCCCAAAGAGATCGTGATTAATCTTGTTTACTCTACAGACGTTAACGGGACACACATGTATAATGACATGTACAGCAACATGACGTCACTATAAATACAATAGACAGACACGTATAGCAACACGTAGACCAGACGTTTAACAGGACGGATGTGGAACAGTTTTGTAAAGTGTGTGTGCGTGTTTGTGTGTCTGTGTGTGTTATTAAGAATATGCATCATCAACACAAAGTATAAATGAAACCACAAAAGAGAGAAGAAAGATCTCCCACGGCACAGGTGGTACTTAGGTAAGAATGTTAATAGATGTCAAGTTTAGTTCCCTCGCAGGAGGATTGTTGAAAACAGAACGTTAAAGTGGGACAAACATTCTGGGAGGAAAAACTTCTATCTTCATACATCATGAAAACAAGAAGAATCAAAACGTGTCACAAAGTGTAAGGAAAAGAAAAATGAAAAAGAACAGAAATGAACAGAGAATAAATATTATGAGATTCAAGAAATGAATGAAAAGAAATATAGTAGAGGGAGAGAGAGAGAGAGAAGTCCTGGCCGATGTAATGTGACACATTGTACACACATCACCCCATAGATGACCGGTCAAGGCACATGGAGAGGCTGCACACTGAAACACTGTTGGGCAGTAAACAAACAGTACATACAGAAGAAAAACAACAACAGACACACGGAGAAAGAGAAAAGAAATGAGCAGTCAAAGAGGATGCACACACACACACACACACACACACACAGTGGACAGAAATCATAACGACTGTGGATATAAGGGTTCAACGAGAAAAGTAGGAAATAGAAAAGTAAGCTGAAAAGAGATACAAAGCATTAATAGCATGACCAGTGAGGTTACAAAAACCAAACTAAAGATTACAAACACCAGAAAAACAGAGCTGCAAGAAAAGATAGGGAATGAAGGAAGGAAAGCCTGGAAAGATAAGAGAGGCTTAGTTTGGTCAGTCTGATAAATATCAAAGAATAAGAGAGAAAAATAAAGAACGATGCACATATAATATCTCTAACAGGAGACATAGAGACGGACGTGATAAAGGGAGAAAAAGAGCACACAGAAGAAAAGAAAAAGACAATAAATACAATTGATCACCAGGAAAAGAAGAGCAAGAACAATTGTGCTTCATGGAGAGCTCAAAATAAACAATAGATGAGAGTCAGTATGAAAGAGAAAAAAGTCGTAGATATACCATTTCAAAATATTATATCATTGAAAACACAAAAGGGACAAACAGGAAGAACAAAGGAAAATGCACATTTAGAGTGTCACAAAAGAGGAAATAACTTCAAATTATGGAAGTTTTCCACCTTTAAGCAACACTCTGAAAGTGGACCGGGGACACAAGGGCCAAAGCACAAACTGGCATTGGCTACATGTGCATATACAATATATGCCAGTAGTTGTCACTCAGAGAGTGAGGGCAATGCCTCCGACAGGCAGGAAACAAGGAGCTCACAGAAAGTCTGTCTGTCTGGCCAGCAATCACTGAGAGAATGTACTTTTTTGGTTTTCTAAACGGTCAATTTGCATGTGAATTGATGTTGAATGTAATAATGTGTACATTTTTGCTGAAGACAAGGACAGAACCGGGGGAAATCCATTCGGACAAATAGACAGACAGAAAGAAGCAAGCAAACAGGACGAGCAAAACGGACAATCACTTCAGCCAGCGAAGGAACCAGAGCGAGACGGGGGGGGAGGAGGGACGTCAACCATTGCGAGAAAGGAAGGGGATATTCATCAATTAGTGTTAGTCTTTTTTATTAGTTGCCAACGGAGGTAATTGCATTTTCAGGAGACTATTTTATCTTGCAAAAAACTCTAAACTGCAGGCAACGAGTTTGAGGGGAAAAAAGCCGGTCAAAAGCTAAACCGAGATCCAAGGATCGCCTCAAAGGAGCTCTAAATCGTGAAGACAGTCTCTGGGTTTGAAGTAAAGCAAGGCACCTCCCTCCTCCTCCACCCTGCAACTATTGATGGGGGAGTGAACGTCCTCAATTATTCATTCTCTTTCATGCTTCATTCAGGGGGTTCAGCGCATTCTCAGGTAGGAGCTGGTGCATCCAGGGGAATGGCCTTTCTACCAGCCCTGCTCCTCAACGCCTGAGGTGGACCTCCTCGGATGTGCTGCAAATTAATATACTTCCTCCAGAGCAAACGGTATATCATCAATTGAATGAAGATTGATTTCAGTTGGTTTCATTTCGAAAAAAGCTATATTAATAGTGGCAGATGGTAAAACTACAACTGCTACATCTTGGTGCCAATGTTTTTTCTGCCCCCCCTCCCCTCGGGACTGATGATGGAAATCGACGCTTCAGAGCCTGCAGTTGTCTACAGTATCCAGTGGGAGGCAGAGCGGATTCGAGTTTAGATCAGATTCTCCCACAGCTAAGGCATAGAAATTGGGCTGTTGGCATAGCAACGGCTCTAGAAACAGAGACCATACATTTGAGGGGTTTGGGGTGTGCGCGACAAGAGGTTGTTGGGAGTGGACGGAGGCGAAGGGTGTGTTCAAAGGGGTGCAGCAAACAGGCAAACACGGGGAGAACACAGAAGATTGGAAATAGGATATATGACAGGTACGGGTGAGAACCTCGCAGACAAACACATGAACAGACATATGGAGGCAGGCGGGGCAACTTTGGGTTTCACCGTCCTGTGATACTATCCTGTTTTGTTACCTGACCGAGGGCCAGCGGCTCGAAGAGAGGGGGAGGGGGGGAAAGACTCCACTTCTAGGCTGGAGAGAGACGCGAGAAAGAAAGCCCAACCCAGCCCTCTTTTCTTTCTTTTTTTTTTTTCCACCCATCTGCAAACATGTCACAGTCAAACAAACACGCTCGCCTGAGACCGTGGAGTGATGTATTTTTCAAAGCCCATGTGCTCAATTTCACAGTCGCCCACGAGATCTATCGCTGTTCGGAGGCCAAAGCATACTTTCCAGGATCATACACAGTCAGAAGCACAGCAGTGAAGCATGGCGCTGCTTACATAACTCGTGGAGTCCGTCATTCCTGCCGCCTCACTTCTCAGCCTGCAACCGAAGATTCTGCTGCGATGTATAAATATGGATGCGTTCACTGTTACCTAATTGCTTCCTGCACGTTTGAACTGGAAACGAGTCTTGAATAGCATCATTTCCTGAAATCCCCCTTCAGGAAGAAGCGACAGGGGAAGCGCTGGATGCTCGCCTTTTGTGTCTTTGCTTCTTCCAAATAGAAATTAGACAATTCAGCAGGTGCCAAAAGTTGATCTGCTCCAGCACGTATTATCCTTTTATTAGAGGCTGTATTTAAAATGTGCTACTCTTAACTCTAGTGGCTGTCGATTGCCCTTTTGACTGGTACGTACTCAAATACCTCTGAATCCCAAAATAAGCCTGGTGTCTACTCCACCTATAAACGTTTTGCCCCACCTCCCTTCATGGCTTCCCAATACTGTCTGCAATTAAGCATTCATGATGTCTCCAAGCGTAACGACTAACCTCACATTCTTGAATGTTTTTTCAAAGTCTCTAGTGTCTACTAAGTGTTTTGCATCCTGATTAGATTCAAAGATTGCCTCTGAGTTAGACGCTGCTGCAAGTAGGCCCCCGTGTTCTGAGGCAGGACACAAAAGTCCAAGGTTAATGCTTCAAATAGCCATCCCTCTATCTGATGTGTATGTATGAGATTAGCATCTGTACCAGCATGAATACCTGCTGGCTGGAGCGCTGCCTTCAGCCGCGCATAACGCATGGATGTGCAATAGAGTACAATAAAGTACTCTCTCCTCGGGAAGATGGATTTCAACGATGTAAACATTTTCCCTCATCGTCGTAGGATGGATGGATGGATGTGTGAGTGTTGCCTTCTTTCCTTTAGCCTTGGTGCTCTCTACCAACCCCCGCTTCTTGCACGTGACCGAATGCGTGTGAACATTCGCCCCGCGTTGTTTCGATGAGCGCGGTGGCCACAGGGAGCCGAAGCCTCAGGGACGCAGAGCCCCCGAAGACTTGGCTGATTAACCAGGCCTGCAAAGCCCCTGTCACAGGAGGAGCAGACTAGCAGAGCGTGGCTTAATCGATTTACATGTTTATGTACAAACACATTATATTATCTGCAAGCATTGTAACTGCAAGGCCCGAAATTACCACCGTAATAATATGTTTGCTTGTACATGCGTGGGACCTCAGAATGACCTGCACACGTCCTCCACCACTAAAAAAAGACGTAACTCCTCCTAGTCAGACTAATGCAATCATGGCGTTACATAAACATGCCTTTGTATTCAATTAGGTTAAAGGTCATAACCACCATTAACCACGCTTGTCTTTGCCTTTCATGTCAATGTAAAGAATCTACTTAAATCATGAAGCAGAAAAGAAATATTAAATTGCCCCCTTCGGCAGCCGCTAAAAGTGCATCCCAGAGTGCGGCACATCTCTGCGACGGAGAGCATGCATCTATATTTATCCATATCTGCAGGATCCATTCTAAAGCAAGAGAAAACCACTGGCTTACACAAAATGATGTAACATGAATGGATGAATAATTGAAATACCTCAGGCAAGTGGATTGAATGTTAATGTCACGTGAGGATGTAGCCCGCCTCCCCTGTCCTAAACCTCCATCCTCATTGGGCCATTCGGCGGCGGCGGCTCAGAAGGAGATCTACATGTACGGCTTCCAGGCATTGTGGGTTCCCTTTATAGCAACACTGGAGAAGAAGCTACAGCCCACACTAGGTCCGCTGAATCGCAACAGCATCTATTTAGTAAAGAACAATTAGTCATTACTGACGCTTGATAACCTTAATTAAGCTTTTCAGGATCCACACACCATGGATGCCTATAAACATCTCAGCATGTGTGGAAACCAAATCCGGGCAACACACCATCCTTGAAGAGACCTTCTGCTTCTTCAGCGTGCAACCTTCACTGCCTCTCTCCCCAACGAAAGCGTTGTCACCTTAGTTTTAACGTCTCGGTCACCGCCAACGTTGCAGGTGCAGTTCAAGCTGTCAGTCATCTCCTGAATCACTCAATAAAAAATAGCTATGCAGAACACTCATCCAGCGATCACACACAAGGTCAGCGCAGGTGCATAATGAATATTGCGCACTTCAGCGCCTTCACGTGAGCGTTGACAAATGACTGAAGGGTAAACGAAACGCCCTTCTTTTGTTATTTGTGCCTTCAGCACTTTACAGACGTGAAGATTATTTTGCTGATTGTAGTGAGCGGCCAGTGTCTACTACTTACTCGATTGGTGATACAACCTTAGAAAACTCTTACAATCAAACCTCATCTCATTTTATAGGTATTGTGAAAATCATCATCAAGTATCAGTAAGTAATCATTTTGAAGAAATATCTTATGACATTATTATTTGTGAATACTGATGCATCAGTGGGTCTCGTTTTAATTACTTTCTTCCATTGATTAATAACCTAATGGTCACGCCCCTATACAAGGGGACATTCAATAAAACATGTGACTAGGCATTATATTTGATATACGAATCCATACTTTTTAATGTCAAACCACTGTCTACGTCATGCATTAACTAAAGCTGTTAAATATTTCCAGCCCTGGTTGTTGTTCCACCAATGTGGAGCAGCTCTTTGATATTCAGTGGAGCGATTTCCCTTTTATGTTGCATAGATAATGATGACGTTTGAGAAGCCACATGAACTATTCACAGTAACTTCAGAGGTTTTACGTTTGACTGACATAATTAGGTCAGACGATCTATTTAGATGAATGGAGTGATGTAAGTATTGCAATGAGAGATGAGCACATGCGTTTGATGGGAGTGCACACACCTGATGGAATGGGTACACGAGGGCTGTGAAACGAATGGAAGCGTTTAAAATGAGCAATATGCCACGAGCATGATTGATTAAATCGTGGTCAGACATCAGTGAAGTCAGCACTAACACCACAGGGAATGATACACTCCCAGCAAGCTTACACTCTGCATTTCTAGTATACACTGTAGGCTTAGAACATTTATTCAAGCCTCTAAATTTAGAATCCAATTAGAGTGTGGCTAAATCATTTGTTATACATTTGAATTTCTAATCAATCATGAAACAACAAAACAATGGGTGTCTCAAGTGGAATTAGTTTACAGCTCCTGAGAGGGCCACACAGGAGCTCGGTGAAGGGCCGAGACATTTGGAGCTTTCATAACATCTTTTTACTTCCTAGTCTCTTATTGTTCACAGACTGTAAGCTGCCAGTGATTCTGTTTTGACTGAAATAAATGAAATGGACCTCAGGCTAATCTAGAAAAAAAACCACTCAGTCAATCCCTGTAAAATCGTGGCGAGTCCCGCCAGCGACGGCCCGCGGCCACTGCTCGCTATTTTGTCTATTAGTGGATCCCACAACACGGTTTCCGGGTGAACGCAAAATCGCAGAGATTGACGGGTTTAACGCGCAAACAACATCACATAGGAAGTTTTACTCCTCCGTATGTCTACGGGTTTCACACTGATCCGGAACAATGGAGACTATTTGACACCACAAAAGCGACATCGTTACCGTCGCCACGTTGTGACTCGCGCTTGTTTGTAGCTCCATGGAGCGCGCAGCGTTTGCAAGGGAAAGGCCACAGGACGCTTCAGGGTAAGAGACTAAAATGAAGCCGATACAACCAAGAGGCCAATATTTCTCGGTGTTGTTGGTGTAGTGTAGCGTCAAAGACTAACCTTTTATAATAAATAAAGGTGCTTATTAGTTCCGGGAGAACAATCGCTACAGACGCAGGACATCCTACAGCTGTCTCCGGTTGCACGGTCCACATGTGCAGCTCCATAGTGCAGATGTGCAGTCTAGATAGCACAACAGTTACCATCTGTATTGTAACAGAGCCCTGGTTTAAAATCATATGTCAAATTGATGAAACAATTGTGAATGAGGAATAATGGGCGTGACGAGTAAATCACAATTTCTTCACCCTCCCCTGTCATCATTTTTTAAGGTGTGTGTCATATAATGTATCTTCAAATTGTCCCCCATTTGTCACACGATCAAAGTGAGGTTAAACGGTTAATTAGAGCGCTGTGGAAATCGAGCATTTCGCCCGGTGCCTCGGGCTGGACTAAACGCAGGATTTCACTCCGACACTGAGGCGTTACAATGCGAATAATCAAAACCACCATCCGCGGCCCTGAGGAGAATAACACAACTGTGGTTTCAGCTGTTTGATTCACAGGACACGGCCACCGGACTCATTTGTTAGTCTTAAACTGTTGAAGAAAATTGGACCAAATCCTAAACAAAAATTGGACCAATTCCTAAACAGATGCTAAACTAATTATTTTTGGAGGTGCTAGCGAGAGTGATGCATGCTTAAAGATGAGTGGACATATTTTGGCTTCTTGTGTGTAAGGTAGCTGGCAAGGAAAAAGCGTATTTTTAGCAGCGTGTTTATGTAAGTGACGAACATGTTGTGGAATAATGAGGAGGCTCTCCGGGCCCTCGTGGAGCTACAGAGACGGGACTCTCAGAGCAGCAGAGGGTGATTGAAGGGAGCTAATGAGCAGGAGGGAAAAAGGCAAAAACGGGAGTAGAAAGGATTAAAAAAAAAAAAGCATGGAAATACAAAGGAAATACAACAATTACCAGAGGGGGGGGGGCTCTGTGAGGCAAGAGTGGAAAGATGGACGGATCGAGATGAAATGGTGGAGGAGAATGTCATTGCGATGAGGGAGATAATTATCATGGTCTGGAAAACAAGACCACTGGCCTGGGAAAACATTGGTTTTATGTGATTCGCTGAGATTTTACTCCTAAAAGAACTTGCGCACCAGTTAGAATCCCACTGCTGTGATTTATGAGCTCATTGCTCCTTTGCAGCCAGCATCCAGATTGCTTTATCTCGTCTCAGCATTTCAGGGCAGTTTTTTACTACCATTTTGTTACATAGGTCCAGCACTCGATTTTTATTTTCGGTAACCGGAGTGCTGAGCTCTTTCAGGATGCAGGTCTGTGGCACGATGCACGTTAGTGTGGTCGACTCACCGAAAAACACGACAAAACAAAACCACTCTCCTCTACCAACGTTGGTCTTTGGTATCATATCCTGCACATGCTTTCATTTGCGACCCACCATTACGTCACACACAAGGAGCACTCTCGTACGTTATCTGGTACCTCTTCTCAGGAGGGGGCTCCTGATTGGCTGGTGGTGGTGCCTGCGCTGTTTCCTGCAGGTCAGGGATATTGGCAAAGTCATCTTGCTCGGCCACACCAATGGCCAGAGCCAGGACCACCAGCTTCCCCTCACTGGCTCGCCATCAAATAAACACGGTAAAGAGATAGAAACAGCAAAAAGAACGAGAGGCCAGAAAGGAGAATGGATGCAAAGGGGAGGGAAATCGGACGTAAAGAAGGTGTGGTGCAGGGGGAGAGAAGAGAAGAGAGGTCATTTTAAGTAACAGCGAGGACAGAAACCAGAGCGGCGGCGGCGGCGGGACGACAAGATCATTTGAGTCATTAAACAGAGGAAGCAGTCACAAAGAAAATGGTCGTCAAGTGGAGAATGCTACTTTGTCCAGGGAAGGATATTCAAAAGAAACCTTAAACTTAAAGGCCAAATGAATAATACGGTAATGATTTTAATGAAGCGGCGCTGGCAACAACTGCAGGCTGTGATCACAACAAATAAATGAAGGGAGCTGTAGGTGATTAGTTAATGATTGTTAATGAATGTGATATTCAGCAGCTTGCACATCAGCTTCCGACGCGTGTGAAAGGGTATGTACCAACTGTATGCACACACACACACACACACACACACTGATTAATTTATTTAGTTACTTAACCTGCCTTTCGCTTTCCCTCCAGACTCACCTTTCCCATCGAACATGAGTGTCGTCTTTCTCAAGAGTTAAGATTTAATTAAGCCCCATTAAGAAGATCTGGACTAATTGTTTCTATTTGAGTGACACGGTATCGCTCTGCGCTCGGTGTATGTCACCGTTTTCTGGGTCACTGCTCTCTCACTCGCCGTGTTGCTCTCTTCTCATTTCATCTTCTCTATTATGCCACCCTCGCTCTTCAAATCCTCTTTCCCCTCATCCCCTCTTCGCTATCCTCGCCTCTTAATTCCCCGCCGCCTCCTTCCTGCTTCCTGTCACCCGTAACTACTTTTCTATAGCTTGAGCCTCTGACTGCTTTACAATAGCTCTGCTAAGAAAATACGCTGCTGCTGTGAAAAAATATCACTTCTAAACTTCCCAGTTTCATCTTTCTTTCTTATATGCTGTCAAAAGCTTTTCTTCCAGCCTTGTTTAATCATTTCCCTGTTATACGTGTGGAACAGTGATTCCCAGACTTTGTGTTGGACAGCAAAACGAAACACGCAATCATTTCAGCTTAACTTCAGGACCCCTTCACTGACTCCACGCGGCGTAAACGTTCCCTTTAAAGGGATTTTATCTCATCCATCTCAAACGTTTATCCATTACTGTCAGTCTGCAATCTGAACCTTTAGTCACTACTTTTACTTCTTTAACCTTTTATCTATTACTTATAGTCAACCATGTCAATCATGTGTGCCTTAATATTATCAAACTACTTAACGCTTTTATCCATTACCTTTAGCTGATGATCTGACTACTCGAACGTGTTGTTTATACTGGCTATTCAATTGCTTTGTAGCTTTTTACACGTGGATCACAGGTCATTTGTTACCGCTGACTTAATATTTGAATTGTTTTTATCACATTAATTCCTTAACTAATGGGCTCCATAATAGTCCCATACAGCCTGGCCAGTGTAAGTGCCACTAAGCAGTGTGATCGGTCTAAATGGGGCCAATCAGATACAACTTCTTGGCCTGTGCTATATGCTGTACATGCTGCCACAAATAAATAAAAAGCAGTTCATACCTGATTTAAAAAAGCAAAAATGTACTTAAATGATACCGTTGATACTTGAAATGATACTCAGTTGATACACATTTTTTTAATTAAAGTTAATTATGTTAACACAACAACTACAAAGCTTGCGGCTGAACCCATATAATCCTGATTGAAACATTATATATGTATGTATTTATGTAGGGGTTATTGGTTAATGGTCACTGAATGCCTATGTTGTCATTCCCCTTCAAGTAGGTGCATTTCAAGAATATTAGTAAAAAAATTAACCAAATGCCCTAATCTTTAAACGCGAGAGGGGGCACAGACGTTTTTGACTTTAAGCCGAAAGCAGGAAGACCATTCACAGAAGATATCTATTTGATCAAATAGCTCAAAGGCTAGATATCTGTGTCAACCACATCAACACAGACCTTCAGCAATGATTCACCAGATTGGGAATCTGGCCAAGATGGAAATGAACTGGCTTGAGCACTGGGTCATTTCTATTACTAGACTGCTCTGTCATCAGACGTGTGAGGTGTTGCTGTTGCAAATAGGGAAATACATCACAAAATATGACCTAAATCTCACATTTACAATGATGGGTTGACTAGTTTAATTGAGTATTATGGGCGCTATTCCCAATGACCTTGGTTATGGCTCATTTGCTACATTGCTGATGCTGGTGCAGCCGGTGACATTATCTCAGCTGGGTCATTCGCAAAAGGCCCAGAGAAGCTTTTACACCAATAAAAAAGAAACAAGTGGTGAGAAACTACTGTAAAAGGGATTCGTGCACAGGGACACTAAGTGCCTTTTTAGCTTGCCGGTGTCCTTCAATATACTTTCAAACCCCACAGAACCATCTCACCTCTCCCTGATCTGTCCTCCCTCCACTTCTGGCCTGAAGTAACAATACGTTGCAGCAGTAATGTGACATGAGATCAATGCTTGAGGGTTAACGCAAACCTACAAACAGCTGCTTAACCCCCTGTTCTTTTACTGAGGCGCAGTGACACGAGGGCGGTGCGATGTTCACACTCTGACCCACATGTCAGCAGACTAACCGCACAACCACCATTAGCACAAACAATACAGCGGTACCAGAAACAGAGGTGCAAGTACTCGTGAAATATGGGGAGCCCTATGGGTGAGTCTCCATAGCAGGATATTTAACTGTCTTTTCATCATGTAATTGAGAAGGATGGCGTGAATATAAAATGCATCTTTTCATGACACCATCTCATAAATATCATGAAGTAGCACCAGCTCTGTCCTGCAGAAACAATTGCCGCAGACGGGCGGAATGCTGTCCAAACAGATGTTCCTGTTTAGCAGAGCGTAGTGTAAACATTGAGCGCGCTCCTTACAGGATGGGACAGAAAAAGCCCACAATATGTCCCAACTGTATGATATGCTTTTCATTTTTAATTTCAATTTTTTTAACAGATTTTTAACAGCAACTTTTTGGTACTTTTGAAAAGCTATGAAAATCCTGTACATGCTTCGGATACACAATCATGTATATTCAGGGACGACAAAACACACCCACACAACACAGTTTGAAGCGTGTGTGCACACAATCGCACAGTGTTACACAGATGAAGTATAATATCCTTCCCTGGATATGAAAATAGACAGCCGAAAGAAGAGGCACACAACACAAAGGTAAAAGGTAAAAGCAGATTAGTTAGTCATCAAACAAAGATACATTGTTGATAATAATCACAACTACAATAATTTGAGTCAAAGGCATGCAAAGCTTTTCCTTTAAGTACCCCAATGCTCAAAAGTAACTCAGTATAATGTGCTGTAACATAGAGGAGGACACCACAAAGGCTCCACAGAGACATGAAGGAAGGGTTGAAGAAACTCACAGGAAGGACTTGACGTCCAGGCCACGACTCCGCATCTGGTCCATCGTGTAATCCCAGCTGCCGGGATTGCCACGAGAGCGCCCTGCTCCACCTCCTCCCCTGTGGCGGGACGGGGCGCCCCGTACGCCCCGGGGGCCGCCTCTCGTGCCTGCAAGGCCACCCTCGCCACTGCCGCCACCTGCCTCTCCTCTCCCGGCGCCCCCGCCTCCCCCGGGCTGTCCAGGTGCCGTGTGTAACTGTCCCAAACTTTGGGATGTGGTGGGGGGATGGACGAGAACAGGGACCGGTGGGTGGATGAGCGGCTGCTGAAGACTCTGCTGGCGCAGCAGCGTCCGAGGCCGGGTGGGGATGTGCTCCAGGGTGGACGTGTACGACAGGACTGGATCCCCAAAGCTGGGAGGGCAGAGGAGCAGGGAGGAAAGAGAGCGCGAAGAAGGCCACGGCCGGCACAGGACAGGGCGATGAGGACGGTGGATGGAGACAGAGGGCACAGAGGAGGAAGAAGCAGAAGTAGATGTAGCAGAGGAACCGGGGCAACACGGCATGCGTTGGTCGGGGGTGGTGAGGTCAGGCGATGAGACGTGGAAGAGAGGGAAAGAATCATCATAGATGAGACAAGGTGGCACGGGGCAGTGGGGAGACACAGGGGAGGAAGTCAGGTTGACGCCAGGACAGGTACAGGGAAGTTCATCCAAACAGGAAGTTGATGATGGAGAGGAGGAAGGAGGAGGAGGCCAGGGGGAAAAAGTGACAGTCGATGAAGCCGGAAGGGAGGAGCGTTGGGAGGCGGAGACAGGAGGAGGAGGAGAGAGAGAGAGAGCGACGTGAGGCAGCAGCAGTAACAGCAGTAGCAGAAGTAGCAGTAGACGGTGCAGCCCCGAGTGGTCGCCGTGGGCCGCGTGGCGCTCGCAGCGCCGGCGTGCCGGCGGCGAGCTCGCCCTGTGCGTCTGCGTCAGGTGCGCGGGCACCTTGCGGGCCTGCGCGCTCACGCCGCGCGGTTTGCGAGAGGGAGCGCTTCGCTTCGGCAGCGGGCGGATGTGCACCGTGCGCACGGGCGCGGCGCGGTTCTGGGCCACGTGACTGCGGCGCGGCGCGTGGCTTGTAGTCTTGCAGGTTCCAGGCCTTCTCGGTGAGGGTTTTTTGGTCGGCTGAAGGATCCCCATGTCCTCTACTCGTCAGTCAAATGTTTCCATCTCTGATAGCCGCTCTTCCTCTTTCTCTTTTTCGTCTTTTTAATACGTGCTCGGCCTCCAGAGACGTCCCAACAGCCAACCAAGTCCTACAGTATGACTCCCTCCCTCTGTCAGCCTCTCATTTTCCACTCCTCCCCTTCATAAAGGCTGTTTGTTTAGCTGGTGTCTTCCTTACTAATGTTATTGTCAACACTTAAACATGATTCTTCTTGTTATTCCTCTGTGGGCTTGACAGTTTCCTGTATCATTCTTTTGATATTTATTTTACTCGCCGAATATATCTTCCTCTCTCTCAGATCACTGTGTAACCCAGACTACAAGAATTAGGTCATGAGAGACCTATTCACATCAGGTGTAGTTTTACTCTGCACTACTTCACCTGAAATAATTCTTCACAAGGCGTTTAGTGTCCATCGTGTCTGACTATCACAATACAGGCGTACAAAGGATACTGGTAATGGGTTGGCAATAAATGAAATAGTATGTGGGCAAAACAGCAGAAAAAAAGGAGTCGCTTTACACGGCAACAGAAAGATGGGGAGTGCGATGGGAACGATGAGAGGAGAGACAAAAAAATGGGGGTGCGAGACACAAACACAAGAGACACTTATAGCAGCCTGAAAATAGAATCCAATTATAGACAGGGGGCAAAAAGAAAAGATGAGAAGAGGAGAGGAGGGAATGAGGAGCGAGGTAGTGACGGGCGTAAATGTGTTGTGGAGGAAGCAGCACAGGCACGAGGTGCCAAAGGAAGGTGCAAAAGAATCCTGGGGAACTGAAAATGAACTGCCTCATTTCCAAGCTGCTGAATATAGACCTTAACTCGTGTCATACGTCAAGGTGGGTGGATGCAGTCGACGGGCAACATTAGTTCTCATTCCAGCCTGCCTGAATTAAAAGGGTGGGTTGGGAAGGTGCGAGGCATTATCTCAGTCAGAGTGGGGAAATTAGACTAATTCTGTGTGGCGTTTTTTGTTGTGCTGTTGCTCACATGAATAAATCAAATCCTCCCACAGATTGATTGCCTTGCACTTTATTGTGCAGCCGAAGGTTTCAGTCAGGATGACGCAGCTCGGGCAACTACAGTTTGCCTCCTGATGCTGATGAGAGTTCCCCGCGTGCTCGCACTTTGGTCTTTGCCAACGCGCCCCCCTCCCCCTAATTCACCGGACCACGGCTGCTGCTGCAGAGGTAAAGACTTGTAAGACAAACATTTGCATTTTTTAAATTCTGCTGCACAGTCAAATGCTTTTTTTTTTTCTACCCGGTTCTGAACTCACTCGCTGGGTCTCAATCCTCCGGACTGCATGTGGCCCTGGACGGTCTGCCACCTCCCGGCCTTCACGCCCTCTGTCACCATGCTCTTCACGCTGTCACTGCGATAAGGAACCCCCCCATCATCCCCATGCCCAGTTGCTGCCCCCTTCTGACCCCCTGACACTGCCCCACTGAGAGGGAGAGAGAGAAAGGGTGCCGAAGGTCACACAGCCGACAGAAGGTGTAGAAGAGAGAGAATAACGACAGGCAGAGGAGAAAAAGACCAAAGAGCGTGAGAAAGACCGACAAAACCGCACACACACACACAGTAAAATAGATTGAGTAACCACATGGCTGAGGAGGGGAGACAGATCAGTAGAGTGTGTGAGGGGGGGCAGGTCTGGTTTTCCAGGCCAAGTAAGAGGCAGGAGGAGGAAAAGGTCGGTGTGGAGTTCAGTGTGGCAAAAGAGAGGGATGGAGGAGAGGAGGGAGGAAGAGGAGAATTTACAAGGAGCCTGTGGAGGACGGAAAACCAGCAAGTAGTCTTGCAAGTAGACGTTGGGCCTGTAGGAGCAGTACTACCACTGCCAGCATTCACTAGTGGCAACAGCATGTGGACGCCGGTTATTTAAGTCTTATTCTCTCATTCATTTAGGCATTTGGGGCCTGAGATGTGGTGCTACTATTTAAGGCAATTCACTAGTTGGAGCAACTGGAGGGCGGCTAGAACTCAAGTGAGCAAATAATCGTCGCATTTGGGAAGTCAGTCAAGGGGATATTCTGTTAAACACCAGTGCATTTGTCAAGTACAACACCAATTATACTTACTGTATAGAACTTAATGTGTAATGTCTCAATTTCTCAAGAATTGCATGTCATCTGATCGCCACTTCGCATTAATAACACTCGGCAGGAAGTAGTAAAATACCTGCACCACACAGTAGAAAGGATAATAGGAGCAATCGAATCATATCAACCTTTACAAATGTACGGAAATGAATCAGTGGTCATGCTTTAAGAGAACTTGCCTGGTCAGATTTCCACTCAAAGCTGGTTTGATGTTTAAAATGTCACATCTACTCTGAAAGTAGAGATGATCAAAAATAAAGCACAGTAGTGCCCTCTGGTGACATGACTGCATTTCATTAATATGCATGGTGCTCTTGCTCCAGGAGGCTCAAAATATGAGGCTGTCGCCTGGTGTGTAGGAACGGGGTTCGGGGGGGTTGCTACACTTGCATCCCGTCTCTTTGAAGGTCACCTTTCACATTCAATTCTGACCAACTGACCTGACATGTGGATAAGTCATCAATCACGACAACAGCGTGGAACAGCAGCTGAAGCCACGGTCGACACAAGAAATGTGGGCCTCATTTTTTGAGCACAAAGTGAACGTCCCTCTGCTATTTATTAAAAAGGTAGGGACACGTAAATAACGGGAAGATAAATCACGACGCATTTACAGGAATATGGCGTTCAGATATTAATCATATTAGCGAATGAACTTCACTGACAGTGAAAGTGATTTTAAACAGAATCTAGGCTGAAGCGGTCAGATTGATCTAAGTAGGTATAATATGCATAAATTAAAAAAAATGTAAACGCTATGTCAATTCAATACAACGTTGTCTCATGTCATACAATATATAACGATTTCAATATTGAAAAAGGATCATATTGAACTTCGGATCCAATAAATTGTGCTGCTACGGTAAGGTTTGATAAATGAGGCCCTGTGCCATTAAAGAGATTGAAAGCTGCTGATCTCGAGAGAATCTCAAACTGGAGATAATTCCTAGCTGTCATTTGGCTTTAGCAGCACAGCATTGTTCTTGATCTCTTAGTTAAAATATAGATTTTATGTTTTCTCATTCAAGTGAATGTCAGAATTTTTACTGGAGCGCATCCAATAGGAAAAAAAAAGCGCTCATTTTACCAAATTGTTTTTCTACTACTGGAAAGACAGCACCTGCTGAAAAACAGTTTATAATAAATGACATCCTCGAGGCTTTAAAATTGAGGCACCAGAGTCTGGAGCTGGTTTCCTGAGATCACCAGCCATCATCTTCAGGCAGAGTTTTCAGACAGCGATCCATACATCCGCCGCGTTCATGAGCACATAGCTGCCTCCTTTTGGCACCTAGGTCTATTAAAGATGACCAGTTATCAGACGGATGCCTTGTAGCAGGATGTCTACGCTTAGAGCCCGTTCTGTGCTCGGAGGGAGATGGGTGTGACCTTGCTACTGCTATAATGGATTTAAATGCCTACTGAATGAGAAAATGACTTTTATTGCATCAAGTAAAAACACTGTTTTCACTGTCGCCCTGTTTCCCCACATGCCGGACAGTAGACACAGTTGAAGTGCTATAATGACACATCGGATATCACGTCGATGGGGATCAGAGGGAAGCCGCAGATGAATTTGGACCACAGGTGAACACTGGTACCACACCTGGTTCAACGGTCAACCCTCCACAACAATAACCATTTCAGTTCGCTCAAGCAGAAGCACAGGGAGATACACAGATTGCAGATAACGCGGGTTAAAGTATGCACATGTCTTTTGGAGTGGAACGTTATGAGGGTTGTCCGTCTCCATGGTTACAGCCCCATGGGGACGATGTGAGAGGTCAGGAGTTAGTGGGACCGGCAGGGCTGTAGGGAGTTTGGGGGCATCCGAACATGCGCCTCTGTGTTCTTCAGAAGGTGACGGGATGTGAGAAGTAGCGGCAGCAATTGACCCGAGGACGCCGCGGCGCCGTGCTGTTTTGACGCTGCAGTAATGATGGAATGGCTGTCGCGCGGAAGCTGTAATGTGCTCGTGTGGCGTTTCCTGCACTCACATTTCCCGAGCAGATTATGACTAAACATTAGTTTGTGCCCCCCGGCATTCCAACATTGGATGTGTTATTATTATTGGTGTTGTTATTACTATTGCGGATGGCAATCACATTATACAAAAGTAATAAGTGTATAAATGTGCACTTGTGTGAACATTGCAACACTGTGACATTTATAAAATGGGCTTCGGCTGAATATTCCTGGTTACACGTGAGAAATTGTTGTAGGAAATCTAAAATAGTGCAGATTATGGGAGTAAGTGGACGTGATGGATTATCTGGCTCTATAACATCCACATCTATCGTCTGATGAGGGGCTGGTGGTGATGGCAGCGCAACTACAAAGGAGGATGTTGTGAGTAAAGCGGAGAGGAGTGGAGGAGACGAATGCAAGGGAGGAAAAGGAAAGGAAATAGGGAAGGGACAGAGGAAAAGGTCACCGCCCCTGCCTCGTTACAGCCCTGCTCAGGAGGAAGTCTCTTACCAACCTTGGACCAAGACTCACTTGAGTGTGAGGCGAGGATCTCCATATGGGGCATAGGGAGAAATGTTTAGTACGAACTCCTTGGGCGGATAGGAGCTCCACCTCTGCTGCACTGTGCTGCTGTCATTGTTATTCCAAAAGTCTCTGTCTAGATCACTGTGGCCAAAGAGAGAAACAGGTCAGAGCAATAAAAGCATGGACAGCCTTTGGCACCAACCAACCATTGGCAAGTTGGCTTGGTTTGAGGAAGAGCGTTGGTCTTACAGTAGCACTGAATGGGAGTTTGAAACAAAACAGGCCCAGATTAATGTCAAATATTCCAGATGAAGTTGACACATCACCATAGTTGTTTGATTAGAAAATAAAAAAAAGGGGCAGCTTGGGAGAAAAAGGCATTCACAAAAGCTTTTCGTAAAGCAATGTGCTGCAGCAGAGACAAAGAGAAAGAGAAGGAGAAGCAAGGAAAGAATAGGTCAGAACCTGATGAATACATACAGCGTGGGATTCATTTCTGTTCATCCACCACTGATGGAACACAATCGAGTACATCAAGAAGTCAGGGCACCATCCTCAACACAGCAACGCATGGGACACAAAGGCAGAGAGATAAACCGCAAACAATCAAAGTAGAGGAGGAAAAGGTGAGCAGAACCAATGAGGTCATACTAGCCACACAGCAGTGGTCAGAGCTGTAGCAAAGGGACAGAGCAGGAGAGAAAGGCAGTGTACAAGGAGAGGAAGTTTAAGCTGAAATGGCCAAGTGAGCACACCAATGCTGCTGGAGCCAGTGAGGGGGGGAAAACAAGCTAAAATGAAGTTAGAATACATTCACATTTTCCTTCTACAGTGCTTAAAACCAGAAAAGAAAAAGTAAAAATCATACAAAGACATTCAAAAATAGCTGAGACAGGAGCAGCAGGTTGTAAAAGAGAAGTGGTGATGAGCAGGTTGATAGAGGCATTTGGTGCAATAAAGGGTTGCACTTAGCATCACAAAGCTGAAAGATTTCCCGGCGCTGACCTATAGTCGTGTTTCACCGAGAACCGAAAACACCTTAATCTTAGATTGAGACCTGTAAGAAACGTTAAATCAAAATCCTCCCAAACATTTATAGTCAATGATTTCACAAAGAGCGCCCAGAGGCCCCCCTTCCTTTACCTAAAGCTGCAGCCATTAAGCAATGCGGCGGCCTGCACTTAAGTGAGACCTATCTTACCACCCATAAGATAAGTGCAGGAGCAGACTCATCCAGCCATTAGCTTCACAGGTAAGATAATGCAGATTTAATCTACCCCGATTAAATCACTAACCTTTCATTTAAAGCCTACCCAAACATGCTCTCGCAGAGATTGTGCTCTTCGCGCTAAAATACCAGGCCTTATTTTCTGCCTTGTTCGTGTGGCGTGTACGTCAAAGCTGAACCAAATAAGAGTTAATAATGACCAGATTTATTCTACCCCAACCAGTTACCGGGCGCTTACTTGATGGCTTTCTTCTCCCCTCGCCCACGTGCCGAGTCTGGAGTGTCTGCTGTTTCCACTCCTGGCTTATTCCTCTTCCCCTTGAGCCAAGCGGAGGGAGGAGATGGCGGAGAAAGGAGAGAAACAAAAGGTTAGCTCAGATTTGTCCTTTTGAAGCTCTGTTTTTGCTTTACTAATTTCAAGTGTAAATGCCTCTCCCATTATCTCAGGAACACTGTGCCATCGGTCCTTTACCTGATGGTCCCCTGATTACACTCATCAAAGTCAAATCAAATCTGCTGTGAAGAGGCATTTCTGACTATGATTATCATTCGCACCACCCTGAAATTTACATGGCAATTGCCTCTTTAAAGTAATCCGCTGGGTAGCGGAGAGAGAAGCCTTTACAAAGTCTTGCACCAGGCTGATTTCAAATAGCTGGAGCATGACCTGCTGTAACCATGGAAATAATGGCAATTTGAAGGCTTCAAAAAGTGAGGTCTGCTGTGTGCATTCTACTGGAAAAGCTCATTACAGTTCAAGGTGTTTCACACATGTCACAATGCAAGTAATCTCTATTGACACGTTGCTACAAGCTGGACAGGTAAGGGATCAGTCTAAAGCTGCCCGGCCTCCCCGGATACCACGGCTGTTTCTTGAAAGTGATGCTCGGATACACATCAAGGAGAGGCGAGGATTCTGCAGCCTCGGAAAATGAGAAGGAGGAACACACGCTGAGCTGCTACGTGGCTCGGCTTGGACAATTGGATCCTAAATTGAAGGGCAATTTCAGTGCTGGGCTTAGTTGTTGGGGCTTGAGCATGGAGCTTGGGACTGGGTATCACGAACTATGCAACCTCCCTGCTTCCACTTTACTCGTGTAATGACTCTTTGTATTAAGCCTTACTAGAACTCAATTGAGGTCTGCTACACGGCCCAAAGAAACAGCGGCCGCGTAACAGGTTTGTGTGTTTTGAGTGTCGGCCTCTGGTTTGCTTATTTTCAAAATATAAAAGGTGTCTCTACGTATCTTTTCTCTCTCGGATTGTCAGCTGTCCCTGTCGCGGCACAGCCAACGCTTTGCAATGACACTTAATTGCCATTTTGTCCACTCTTTTATTAAAGTACGTTGTATTTAGGTCACAGAATTTCTTGTTGGGCAGGTGGTGCTTCGTTCTGCCCTCAGCGCTGAGTGACGCATCTCTACTGCTGCCGTTATTTTAGGGTGACATTGGAAACGTAGCCTTTGGGAGGGCAGCCGATGGGTGAACGCTGAATGCAATCACCCGGAGTAATCGACTGAGTTGACTCAGAGATCTATGAACGACGCACGCACTGCTCACAAATAGCAGACGTGTATGGAATGCAAATTGTGCCACAGTTTATGCACTTATCCTTAGTTCTTTATATAATGACTCACATAAACTCCATGACATCCAGACAAAACAGATGTCATTTCAAAGTACAGCCTACAACTTGGATTTGGTGGCTTTGGATATTGTTGACAACAGCACTGCTGGGCAGAAATGATAAAAAATGATATCTTTAACACACAAGGAAACAAACTGGCTCATATGTTGTATAATTGCCACCATTCTGAAATAGAAGGTCAGCGGATGAATAAACACTGACAGGAACAACACGTTAAACAGCTGCATTCAAGAGTTGTGTTTGTAATTTAAATACTAATTTAGGGAGTAATGTTCTCTTTGTAAGCTATGATGGAGATGGTCTATTTACTGAACACATCAGCCCACACTATAGAGCGCACTCGGGATTTTTAAAACATGGCTTTAGGCGTTTAATAACCGTTATCATTGGCTTGACATGCCGGCTAAATACATACATGGCTTTATAGTTTTGTACAGCATTTGGAGAACACAACTACGAAAGCTTCAAAACATCTGCACGCCCAGGTGGGAAAGTCTTCCCCGTACAAACAAAAACAATCATTTTGCACATCACAATAAATACCGTACACTTGTAGGGCCATTTCTGGAGAGGCAAAACTCTCTGAATTTCTCTGAGAAAAGGACAAGCTAACAAAAGAGGCTCATTTATCGCTGAATTCTACAGTGAACATTTCAAGAAGGTGGGACAACAGAGGCAGAATGAGCAAGCATCCAGCACAGAAAGAGGCCTGAGAGCTCAGAATAGAAACTAAACAAAAAATAAATAAAAAAATAGGCAGCCAGATGAAACACGAGGAGCGGGGCAGATGGCATGTGCCACAGCGAGATTGGAGAGAAAGACAGGTGCGAAATATGAAATAAGAGAAACAATGAGTGACAGGAAGTCCAGAGTGGATTGGACGTGAGAAAAAGAAATGGATGGCCATTGAGTCTCATTTCCATGCACACGCACACGAAGAATTACACAGCTTCAAAACCATCTCCTTTCCCTGCAGCTCATTCAAACGAGTGAATAACAAAGATGCTTCTTCTGTTTTCGTTGGAATTTGCGAAGGCTGCAAGGATCCGGAGTGATGAACATAACAAAGCACACCAGCTCTAAAGGAAAGATACAATAATGGAAACCAGCTCAATGCCCCGAATGAGGGTTAGAGCATACCGACGGAAGAGTGAGCAATTTCCCCTCATCATCTTCTACTCAAATGCCCTTGAAAACACTTCAGTCACATTTAAATCAGTCGTCTTTTTGATAAAAAAAACAAACGGTTTCATACGAGATCGGCGCTGAGTGCAGTCTGGCTCGGAGCCATGAGGTGAAAATAGGTCCGACCGAGTTATGAGAAAAATCACAAGGCGCAACTTGGTGGTGTTGGTAATGGGGAGAATCCACTAACACGTTATAAAGTGCAACTCAACGCCTCGGTCGGAGCTGCAGTCGGATGTTGGAGTGTTTCACTCAAACACAACTGGCGCACATCAGCTACTGTGAAGGAGACGGAAACGAGAGGAATACTGAGAGGTCCTTTTAGAAAACCTGCTCTGTGTCGCAACAGTTCACTTTTCGGCGATACAAAGACACAAAGCATATTCAAGATTACGATCTTTGGTCTTTATGAGCTACGGAGCGCAGATTGATGATAAAAAAAAATGGAAATTGTACCCAATCAAAATGTACACCCGTAACACAAATGAAATAATGAATAATTCCTGAAGCCGGTGTGTACGGCGGTACGCTGCATGCTAAGCCATCTGTCAGATGTGTGCATGCCTTCAAGTTCTGATGACAAACTGACAGAAATATAACTTCTATAACTTTTAACTAGTGAAGCTTCATGCAAACAAACAGCGTGTTGAAAACATGCTGATGTTCCCGACCCTGCAGACTATCTTTAATGAGTTTTAAACTCTTGAGATTTGTGTATTGACACTCTGATTCAGTTATTTGTACAGGCGTCCCAATGGAGGTACTGTGTTATAAAAGAGCGAGCACGAGGAGAAAGGAAAATGTCAAGGCACACTTCTTTTTTTTTGACACGTGACAGCAGACGAGTGAGAAAAGACTCGGCGTCGGACCGCCAACGGTGACGCTGAGGGTTTTCTTGAAGAATCCAGACATGAGAGGGGGGAGAAAGTACCGCTCTCTATGTCTCGGTTGGCAGTGCTCTGCCTTCCAACACCCAGCTGTGTTTGTTTGCTGTGAATTAGCAGGCAGCAAGAGTCTACATGCTCGCTCAATATTACCCACATTGCACCATAATTAGAGAGGAGTAGACTATTAAAATGGTCGTCCGCTGCTAAATCATCAGTCAATCATTTATTTTCATCATCTGTCAAAACAGATACTTAGATTAGACATACTTTGTCTTTTTTTGCTGACATGGAGAAGCACGCGGCCACAGACACGTACAATTTACATATTACCAAAAACACTATTTGCCAATTCAATGTGACAAGTTAAGGCTTAAGATGTTGTTATCATAGCATTTCCGATCTTTTAATTGTACAATCCTCCTGTAATTATTGATTTGGTCATCTTTTTTTCTCCTCTCATTGGAATAATTACTATGATCCTCCCCAACAATTGTGAGCTCCTAACATCCGGTTAATGCATCCAAAATACTGAAGCTGGTTGATACGAGCCCGACAAGGCCTGAATCGGGCCGTGAATCTGGTCAGGTCCAATCTCAACTCACCAAAGAACTGTGGCACAGAACCAACGGCTTTTAGGGATACCACCTCCGATCGCCCAAACCCCCCCCCCCCCCCCCCCCAACGCCTACAACGCCAACGACACGAGCCCCTGCTGAGCACCACGCCGCGGCTCATTGATCACGTGACCGTTTGCTTTGTCGTCCATTACAAAAAAAACAACAATAATAATAATGCGTGACACAAAAACACCCCAGAAAAGACATGAGATTAGAAGCAGTGGAGCTGAAGCGTCTATAAACAGCGACGGGCGGGCAGACGCAGCAGGCAGCAGAAGGGCACTACAGCCTTCATTGTGCTTTTTTTTCCTTCCAGGGGGCTTGGATAACAGAAAGCCGAGCAGGAGGGAGGCTGCAGGATGGCCGCACATGAGGATTTTTAAAATAAAACCCAACCCCGCTGGTTGCCAAAGCTAAAACACCAAAAGCAACACTCGCCCAAAATGTCTTGTCTATTAACCTATGAATCATAACCAAAGCTGGCATGGGCCCACTCGCCACTGACACGTAAAGCTCGAGGCAAACGTTTGTTCTTATGAGAGCTGACGCTGTCAAAGAGTACGCTGGGAAACGTCATAAACGAAAGTTTTAGACGCAGCTTGGCTTGTAGCTCTATTTAAGAAGAGCATTAGCCACTGAGCCACTGATGATTGGTTTACTACGCACACATCTACAATAAGGAACTATGTTTGAGCTGTGCCACAGTGTAAAAATACATATTCCGAAATGATGTATATTATGACATAGAATTAGCATCATTAAAGGTTAAGGTGGGACTAATATCACATATTCAATACTGCAGAGTAGTTTGATGTTTTATGCAAATCGAACTGAATGTACATTCTAATCATGTATTGAGGGAATATAGGGGATCTCGTGGGAGAAGGACGCATAGAGAGATCAAGGGAAGCGAGGGAGCGGAGAGACAGTTCCTGTGTCACAAACAGATTGCATGGCTGCCGCGCCTTAACGGTTGTTATTCACGTAGCAAACATCACACCTTAAACACCACGATATCAATGCGAGAAAACGGACGACGCCACGGTTAATATGGAAGCTTTGTCCAATTGAAGCGCACCATCAACACATTCGTCGCCATACAAGGGGCCGCAGTTTATCTCAGTCACGCTCAATTATTTTGTACATTAAGCAGCTGTGTTTAATGCGGTTTCACACACCAGTGGGCGGCTGACATTTTTCCCAAAGTAAGCGGTCTAAAGACTTCAAAGGGTTTAATTAACATCCTAATGCCACTCTGTTTTCACCCACCGCCACCAAACACATAAACACACGCACCCTGAAGTCGCCTCACCAGGGCAAGAAGCACTGGTTGGGAAAGATTAAAAACCAGACGGGCTCAAGCAGCATCTCCGCTGAGATGGAAGCACATCCCATTGTGTGTGGCTCGGGGTCGACAGCGGGCCCGCCACAGGGTCGCGTGGCCAACAGATCCTCAGCCTATCGCTCTGCTGCACGTCTCAGGATGGAAATAAGATCCACCTCAGGACCATTTCCTCCCTGGATCACGTGCATTATAAAGGCATGATTTAGTTATTGAGTTACGGCCTCCTTCTCGCGATTCAAGCAGTGCAAATATCATGCCGTGGAGAGGCACACGTGGTGTGCAGAGCCTCCTGCAAGGCAAAATCCTGCCATCTGTATGGCGATAAGTTTCCCAGCAGTGCAATGATGAGCTGAAGAAAGTTTGAGCCGAACTGGAAACAGGTGACCTGTGCTCCTCGGTTGTACGAGCACAAGATGAACAAGAAATCAATGAACTCGTTTACCGGCATGCGAATCTAAAAGAAATCAGTCAAGTGAAGCGGCACTGATCCGTACGGCTCTGTCTGCCTAACGAGTGGTTGCCTGTCTTTAATCAATCACATTTTATACCATGTTATCACAATGACACGCCCTCTATCAGAGGTCAGTGTGTGTAATCTGCCTTCGGTCTTTCATCAATGGGGAGACTGGTGCTGTATCAGCACAGTTTACTATGTGCCACAGTGTAAAAATACATATTCCGAAATTATGTATATTATGACATTGAATTAGCATCATTAATGTTGCTGCAGGTGAAGGTGGGCCTAATATCACATATTCAATACTGCAGAGTAGTTTAATCTATAATACATCACATGGTATTAGTTTGTTCGTAGTTTGAAGGAATCTGCTAAATAAAGGGTTGTCCAATAAATTTAGTGGAGTAGAACTATAAGGGAGCATTAAATGGAAATGCTTAAGTACCTCAAAATTGTACAAATGATCCAATACTTGACAAAAGTACAACCATTCCCTTTAGAGAATGAAGAAAAATGTGTGTTGCAGAACTTTGTTTCACTTCTTTCCTCCTTCATGAATAAACTACAGGCTGCACAGATTTATGTAGCGACCCTTATGGGAGCCTTAAACTGCAAATACAGTTATTTAAGGTTAAAACCAGCTACACCTTTATCATCATTACATCTGATAGTATCATATGTAATAATTATACATATATGCCAACTAGCTATTAAGTGGGACCTATTTGTAGAGAAAAAAATACTTTTCACACAGTTGAACACAAGCCGCTTTCCTCTACTTGCTCATGAGTTACGTCATGCTTTCATGTTTGGTAAAGTGAATCCTCCTGCAAACCCTTATTTACAAGATGGGGGGGAAAGCAAACACGCAATGACTGCGGTGGAATATTCTTTTAACTGAGTTCATTAATAAAGCGCATTAATGCATTTTCAGGATATTTGCACCCATTGTTTGTTTCTCCAGTGCACCAAAGTGTCTTTTTGAATAACAATCACAGCAGATAAAGCACGTTAGGGTTAACAACCGTAACTACAGTACAGTCTCTGTTAATGATTCTCGCGTTGGTGTGCGCGTTGAGACTCACCAGCTTGCGTTGACACCAACCACAGACGCCACAAAGAGCCACCAGCCAAACAGCACACACTGTCACAGCGAGAGAGACCAGGAACACGCTGAGGGACACTGAGCCTGCACACACAAAGTACAGAAAAAAAGGAGTGATGCTTTGATTTGCAAACATGGTTAAATGTCCTTCATTGTGTGTACAATAAAAACATGGGATTTTGGCCACAGAGCCGCTTGTGTGTCACAGTGAATCATGTTGTCACGTCCGGTCTAATTGAAAAGCCTGCAAAGCTGCCATTTTTACATTCTGTCACGAGGAGCTGAGAAATACAATCTCATCACTACCCGCTTCATGCTGGAGCATTTCAATATCTTTTCAATAAGGGCTGCGGTCAGGCATCCCTCAGCTGCACACACACACCACTGTCACGGTGCCACAGCTTGTTAACTGACAGGCTGAAAGAAAAGGGAGGAGGAGGTGGAGGGGTGGAGGGGTGGAGGGGTGGGTGGTGGTAGTGGGCGGAGAGGAGAGGAGGCTCGCCTGACAATACAAGAGAGCTCGTGATTAATGGGTATCAGTAAATGCCCAGTGAGAGAGGTGGTTCTGGAAGAGAGTCACAAAAAAAAGATCATTTTTTGGCCGGGAGAGAGAGAGAGAGTGGATGTGTGTGTGGGCGTGTGTGTGTTTTTGTGAGACAATTCACAGCTGCACCTCCGCGCCTGCGTCTCTTCACAGGACGCTGTTATAGGTGGATCTAAACTCTTCGGGGTTCTTTGGGCTGCAGACATTTCAGTAATTCAATGACCTTCACTATAAAAGAAACGGATATAAAGCCTCATCGAGCTTTGATATTTCTGCACAGCAGGGAGGATGCTAATGGATTCAAACTCATGATTTCCTTCTAACAATTCTGATTCCTAAATATACAGTGGGTAAGCGGGCGTCGGGACGCATTTTCACTGAGCGGCAAACACACTCAAACACCTGTGCTTTCCTTTCAATAACTGGCTCCGTATTCTATTCCTCATCCCCGATGCTTCCTCCTTCCTTTCCTTTGCTTGTCACAACTGGCTTTTTCATCTCACACCTTTATTCTCCAACACTTTATTCTCCACCTCGCAATGTCCTCTGGCAACAGATGAGCTCCAAAGACAGGAACAGTGTGGAGTAAACTTGTTTCATATGGGGGGGGGGGAGAAAACGAACGGGATCAGCACCGTAGTCCAATGTCTCCTCGACTACTGATTTGAAGTAGATGTGACACCTGGGGGCCAAATGCGGTGCGGAAAGAGAGTTCTTACAAAATAGCCGTGGACAGCAAATTTAATGACAGGTAGATAATGAATAAATCTCATTACCTTGCAAATTCTACAGTGTGACTGTAACAAATGAACCATTTGCTATGTGCACAGGAATGTGTATGGCAGTGGTAAAAAAAAGGGACGTCTTTGGTTGTGGGTGGACGGAGGCTGGAGACTTTGCAGGTAGAGATAGAGGTGAGCGAACTGTCTTCAGTAAATACAAGGAAAATTGTCTTGTTTATCCACTCTACTCTTATGCTGATTTCAGTCATAGCAACCAAAGGCTCACATTTATAATCACCGTGGTAACCTGCAAATGGCTGTAAATATACGTGATGTTTACAAGAGCTTAAGGTGGCAACCGCCGCCAGTGTTTCCATGCTCCATATATTGTGTTTAATTCACCATTCATAAACTTACTGCGTAGTCGATGTTTGAAATACAGAGATAAAGGACGGCTTTCTATAACCACAATCCGTTTAAAATAAAATAGCTATTGGGAGGTGCAGAGAATAAGAAAGACAAGTCAATCCAGCTTGTCTCCTACAACATGTCCCCACAGGCACATTGCTCAGCACAAGTTACCAGGTACCAAGTGACAAACACAAAACAAAGAAACGCCTCAGAAATCATCAAGTTGAACTCTTGACAACAGAATTGACGTGACTGAGCTGATGAAGTGAAGTATAATCAGGGTAGTAGTTGTTACAAGTGACCCCTTCCATTATCTATCTAATGGTCAAAAGGCACGTGCGTGCCCCCTCGGTGCAACACAGCCAGCTCCTGAATGTTGAATATCACTATTCATAAGTGTTCAGAAGTAGACACAGACTGTATACTCTGTTACTGTATATTCATAAAGAGGTCAATAGACTTGAGTCTATTAGATAGGATGACATCCGCAAGGGTAACAATACATCTAAATGCATCTATTGAAGCATCCAGTGCTAAGTGACTCGGTGATGGACTCAGCGAGGGCTCAGAGAGTAGGTGGATCTGTGAAAGCCCCGCTTCCTGTGCGCGTTCTAAAGATCGGGGGTAGGGTGAAGGGTGAAGGGTGGTACGGTTTATGGTCTGTGTCAGTCATGACAGCTGAGGGAGGAGAAATCCTCCAAACAAAATGCAGCATCCACACAGGCCCCCGTGACTGCAATCGGCCAACGGAGAGCTGGATTTCCGCTTCATGGAATAGAACTTCCTTTTCGGAAGCTACAGAGAAGCAGTGTGTGCAGGCGGCGTGGAGGAAGAAAAAAGGAAGGAAATACTCTGCGTGGAGGTATTAGGGAGATATGCAAATGTGCAGCACTATGGCTGCGGAGAAAGAGAGGAATCATTAGAGAAAACGGAATGCTGCACGGCGCGCACCTATCACAGCACTCAGCATATTAAACGTGTCTTTCGCCTTGAAGAAAACACAACTTTCCACTTAAAATCCATCACTCAAACAGGTGACGCACTGGTAAGGGGAAAGATGGCTGCTGAAACTGGTAAAAAAAACGACAATTCCCCTGATGTTAGATCACTGCATATGTAACACACATGCATCGTCACTCTGTCTAACTGGGTAAGGACTGAAGAACGCTTCCAACAGAGGGTGACGAATCCCCTGTAAAGTGGCGTGACTCGTTAGAACTGACGAGTGAGCTGAATAAGCCAATGAACCCTTTGATCGGAAGCCTTCAGAAGTCGGAGCACTCTTGAACTTGAAAGTATTTGTTTTAGGTTTCAGTGGCCGTCTCTTTCATGAGCATAAAAGAGGAAGTGCACTGGGTTGAAGGTTGGCTTTGACGGTGGAAATGAGCTCACTGAACAGAGCAAACGCCGAGTCGTGCCGAGGTCAGATGTGGACATTTAAGAGAAACGCAGAGGCAGAACTTGGAGAAAAGCACACCGTCTTTGTTACAGAGGGCTCTTAGTTTGTAGCACCTTTAATGACAACAAGCGTTGCACAGAGTGGGATTGTGCATGTAGGGGATCCGGGCCCACATGCAGTGAGCTAAGCCAAGCAGAAAGGGACCCGTCCTCAGGGGTAGAAGAAAATTGCTAATTGGACAGGCGGAACTGGAGCAGCGTCCAGTCAGCAAAGCTGCCACACTGCATCTTTAAGCTGTGTCTGAGGTGTAGAGGACAGTACCTCAGAAGATCTGGGTGCAAAGCTTGCAGCCTATAGACACCACTTCAAAGTCCCCCCCCCCCCCCCTCCTCCCTTTACTGGAGTCCGGGTTCTGCTCTCTCCATGGACACTGAGCTGCTGCCGGGGTGAACCTCAACGTCACTTAGATGTCTTTATAGTCTGCAACCCTCCAAGGCGCAATCCGTGTGTCAAGGCGAAATGTTACGTACACGGAGTCATGTTGTGATACTGAGTGTTTCAAATTGTTTCCATCTACCTCCTGGCTCAATTCTTCAGTGCGGCTTGTTGCTTTTCATTTGCAGTTATGTCTCTGGAAAGAAGATGGAACGGTGGTAAACAGCACATGTGTGTGAAGATGTTGAATGTAAATATTTCTCCTTTGCTCAGTCGTACAAAGTAACTTGTGGGGGAAAAGGAGACGTTGATGAATGACCAATTACGGTGGTTTAATTAAGCTACACTGTTGAATAAAATGATCCTAGGTGATGGCTACCAGTACTTGGGCCAGAGTTGTAGTTTTCTCTCTTTTACTGTTGTTGCAAAAGCAGACAGTCTGGCCTGGCTGAATAGGCATTTCCTTCAGACAGAACGTCATTTCAAGTGGGATGTATGACAGATGATTGACAGCTCCCTCCTCCATGCAGACATCATCGTGAAACCTTCACACAGGTTATTGACAAATGTAGCATTGAGCATCTGTATTTGTTTTTGATTAGCTAACCCTAAAAAAAAGCATGTTAAATCTCCCCTGAATTGTTTATTATCATTTATTATTATAATACATAGTAGGATTGCAGAGCAAGCCAGTGTATTTCTTAACCTTTTCTTACAGTTGGCATGTTCCTGCGCTCAGTAGATTCTCAGTGGACGGTTGAACCTGAAAGACGTATATACATTTTAATTGACTTTTGAGTACTCTTTATTTAGTTATGGATGTTCTGCCTGACGCCATCCAAAGAGACCCTGGTTTCTATTCATTTAGTGGGGTATTAAAATTCATCAGAAACTAGAGGGATTCAGTCTGCTGTAATTCTTATAAGACAGCACACTGTTGCAGGTACTTTCTGTTGCTCAGGCATCCTGTCCCGACATCTTTTACTGCAAAACACATCTCTTTTTTTTAAATGCAAAGTACTACAAGGTAACAGGATCTTGACAACACATTCATGTTTATGAGTATGGATTTTGACCGGGAACTCTCGTAAATTCTTGTCAGCGCTTCCCGCTACCGCCTATTGTTACATCATCATGCCGGAGGAATCTTAAGACGCGACAGAAGACATAATATTGTTTGTTATTATCTAATGCATAGCAAAGGTCCAAAAAATGTTGGAAGGAATATCCGTTTCCCTAAAAAGCTCTGGCATGCTTTGGGAAATGATGCAGAGTTTACGGCCTTTGAAGTGATTTGCACTACATGGGCAAAACATGGGTCCACGCGGGACACCGGAGCCCCATGTGCTGCCAAACGCAGAGACGTGTGCATCAACCAGTGAAATCTGAGTGGAGAGCACCAGTGGGGAGCGAGTGTCTCTTGCATCCCCCGGAGGCTTCAGGGAGCTTTGCCTGTGCTCTGTCCCAACATGCACCCCGTGGCTCAGCTGCTGCACTGCTGCGCTGTCACAGAGGCTGTTTCACAGCGAGAGTAAGAGGACTGCCACCCACGTTCTGTCTGCTCTCAGATGTG